ATCGGACGCCAGGTTACGGAGAACTATCGGCTGCGGTTGCTTTGAACCACCGATCCTGGCACACGTGGGTAACATGGCCACACATCAGCACCAACCCATGGTTCGAAATCCCATAGGCGCGGGAACGCAAACTCCGCACCAGCATAACAACATGTCGTGATTGCGACTGTTAAGTCAGTGGCAGGTCCGAGGACTGACATCGCCATCACGTGCAAATATCGAGATACTCCTTTATGCTGTTGACCCCGTAGGTGGAACATCGCCTAAATCTCAGCCTCAACTGGTATTGAACAAAACCAAAAGCCCAAGAGCCTCAACATTCATACAATTCTGGCTCACATGAGATGCCAGTTAGCAGCGATGTCTGACACGGACAGAAACAACGATCCAATCTCTGAGTTGCAGACCCCCAAAAGCCTAGCAACCCAAAAGCTCCAATTCCCATAGCCTTTGGACCTCAAAGCCTAGCTTCACCTATGTCCAACCCGCTTTTCGGGAATCACGGGACCTCCCTGGGAAGTTGTCGTTGGGATTAAATGAAGGTTGCTTTGCACTACTAGCTTCGACTTTACCTGAAGCCGATCCGCGAATACCACACGCGCCTAAACCCTAATCCCCAAACCTCAGTATACAGGCGGTGAGCTTCTGGGCCGTCAGCTTTGCACATGAGCTGGCGCATTTCGAGTCCCCCATCCATGACAGGCCCCGGAGGGTTGAGGGCTGTAGGATCATATGTGTTGGCTTGAGAGTATCGGGCCCAAGGCTCTGGCCGAAGTGCGCTAAGTTTCTCCTTGGATTCTTCTACAAGAACAGGTTTTGAGCTTGAGAATACGCAGCAGTATCTGAGAGTTGTATCCTGAAGGCAGCCACGCATCATCTGCATACGGACCGTAGTGCTTCGCGCAGGCAACACGGTCGTGCAATGGAGATGTCTCAGCGAGCTGTGCTGCCCGGTCTGGCGCACCCAAACCGCATCGAGTCTTGAAAGCAGGTCTTGCGGTCTTGGGCCTTCGAGGAATACCCACGCATGGCCGCATGGCTGTCTTTCGTTGAAGCAGAGTTCAGGGCGGGGTTTAGGCCATGAGTGGTGCTTGCCGTACAGCATGACGGAGTACAGCGAGCTTCTAACATCAGAATTGTGCCATGTCCCAGGACACCCTGGCATCTCCCCACTCCCCTGAACAGTGTCAGGTATCTCCAAAACCGATCTAGAATTTGAACGTGCTGTAGACCCTGACGCACTCTCAAGCTCAAGGTGCAGAAGTGAAGCCCGCAATGAGTAAATCCTGCTACACCCTAAACCCAAAGCCTAAACTCACAAAAGCCCTATAAATCCGCCATTTCACAAGCCCTGTTTAAACAAAACAACAGCAGCTACAAAAACGAGAGCCCTAACCTTCGGCTTGCCTGAGCCACGCAAGGCGAGTCCTGTCAAAGCCCTGGGGGTCCGCCTGGCTCTCAAAATCACTGGTGTATAGGGTATAATAGGGTTTATAGGGTTTATAGGGTTTATAGGGCTTATAGGGCTTATAGGGCTTATAGGGTTTATAGGGTTTAGGGGTTTAGGGTTTAGGGTTCCGGAAATCAGGGGCCCCGGTCTGCAACAGATTCCGCTATTTCGAGAGTGCACTCGCAACGCCTTATTGCTATTTCGAGAGTTCTCTGGCAACGCCTTCTTCTTTTAAGCTCCACCTCTTATTTTTTCTGTCACTTTCACATTTTTGGGGAACTATGAGAGAGTTTCTTCCTAGGGTTTCCTAGACGGTGTTGCAGGACTTGTTGCGCCGTTCTTGGCTTCATGCCCCTTGTAGGTTCAGCTATGGGGCTGTATCGATCGCGTTGTGTTATATTGGGTCTCAGAGCAAAAGCCTTTGGGAGCTTCAGGAATGACGATTTTCGGACTTTCGGAATTCTGAGCTGGCCCTTCCGATTCTGGAGGCTTGGATTTGGTGTCTGTAGTCCAAAGACGTTCCGACTCCGGGGTTTCCAGCGAATCAGGATTCCGGCTCCTCAGAGCTCAGGCAAAGGCCCGAAGCTCTGAAAGGATGGCGCTTCGAAGCCGCACGCTTCCAAGCACAGGCAGCGTAAACCTGCAAGAAGCCCCTCCGCCATCAGATTTCTGAAGACCTATGACCCCGGCCCTTGCAGCCACCTCGACCATAAAACTCCAAAGCCACCAGACTCAGGCTTGAACCTTAGCCCTAAACTCCAACCCTAAGCCCAGGCTAGGCAAAGCCCCATGGGGTTCGAAACAGAAGGGCCCCTGGAGCTTAGAACTGTGGCCGAGGCTGTCGGTTCCCAGAATGTCGTACATCGCAAATGGACCTTGCAGGGCTCGGCTGGGCCCTCAGAGAGCTTTCGGGTTTCTTCATTTTGGGGGTTTAGGTCTTAGGCCAAGGGTTTAGGGTTTGAGGATTTAGGGTTTGCGGGTTTTTGGCGGTTCTTCTATCACTGCTGCCAGCTTTTCGTAAACTAGTCTGTGTTTGGTTACGGATGTAGTGCCACCATCTCAGAGCATGATGGATCCGCCCATGGACCGGAAAGAGTCCGTTAAGTCTACGAATCCCCGGGAGAAGCCTCAAGTGCTCTTCTTGGCCGCAGGGGGGCAACCTGCTGGGCTAAGTTTGCCCAGCTCCTGAGGTGCACGGCATCCATACGATGGCTCTAGGGCTAGGAGTTTAGGCTTTAGTGTTTCAGGGTTTAGGGCACGGTCTCATGATGGTCTAAAGGTCAGCTTCGGTAAATAAATACATGCTTTTACACCCGTAAAGACAGCATGTCTTAGGTGGGACTTGGAGCAAATAGGCGGGTGGTCTTTTCATAGAGCCCTATATAGTTTGATCTTTAGTAATTAGAGGGACCCCTAGAAAAAAAAATCTGCGGCTGACAAGCCCCCATATCGTCGCTTATCTTCGCTGGTTGTAGCAGTCGGGTGACTGCAACCAAGAGCGAAGCCGATGATGCGAAAAGCTCCTGAAATCGCGCCGCATGCAGGATGAGACCGGAGAGCACCCATGTTAATGGCAATACTAGAAGCAGAAGAGTAAGAGCATTAAGAAGGCTGGGAACAAGTATGAGAAGATCGACGACACAGAACAGAACATGACAATGACTTTTACGCAAAGAGTCCGAGGAAGAAGGTTCGCAACATATGAATTGTACTTTTCGTATAACAAAAATATTATATAATTCTAGTAGTTATAGACATTGTACTAATTATAGTAATTATAGTAATGACCACGCAATCTTGTTAAGGGCCCGGGGCCTGTGGAGTCGATAACGGCGCCCTGGCTGGGAGGGGGGAGTACTGTTTGACACAGGGGCCTGGACAATTAGAATAGGGTCGATGTCACCGAAAACTTATGCATGAAGGAAGCCTCGGGGATAGTTTTGGTAGCCATTCAGGCTTCTAGATTGTGTTTCATCTTATCCTGAATCAACAGCCTACACCTGCACCCTAAACTAACCTGAAAGCAGCTTTGTATGTTTTTTGTTATTTTAGGTGTTGCATTCCCAAGGGTTGTGATGCTGATGGAGTCAGGGGCGGTTCGCAGTCTGCGGGTTGGGGGTTGTTTCTTTCACTACAGAGTAAGGGCGTGGCCTATGGCCAGGCGCTGGTTCATTCGCGTGGTTGTCCCTGTTGGTTTAAATGGGTCTAGGGTTCGGGAGTTTAGGGTTTAGGGGTTTAGGGTTTAGGGTTTAAGCCTGTCTTGAAGGCCGCGTGCTTGCGTCCCTCGCTTGGGCTCACAGTCGGCACTCCAAAGCGGGTGTGTCTCACCACCAGGGCCGTTTTGAGGCACACCCCAATGCCCCACCTGAACCCGAAACAAACCTTCTGTAGTTACTCAAAACACAATGAAGCTACCCCCGACAACCTCGAACTGAGCATACAAAATAATTCCATACATATATAAATGGCGATGTCGGGATATTATGCATTTATACTTATCAGGCGTATCATCCCCTTACGGTACCTGGTGACTATAGGTCGATAAGTATAGCATAAAATACCACGGAAGCTTATTTTGGATATTCAGGCTTCCATATTCGGGAGTGCTGAGCTTGTTTTGAAAGTGTAGGTTGGAGACACACCTTGATGGCGTCGTCGTGCACAAGGTAGCTGCAGGCTGGGCCAACACAATTAAAGCCTGAACCCCCGCCAGCCCTCCGATTTGAGAGCAGCATTCGCGTTCGCTGAATTCATGAATGTGGAAGGTGCGCGCGGGGGAATGGACTCGCCGACGCTCATCGGATGCGTAGATGGAGGCCCAACAGGATTTAATTTTAGGGTGCAGAGCGCCACCAGTGAACAGACCCCGAGTGAGTCTGAGACTATCCCAAGCCCTGCAGCCTTTAACTGCGAGCCAGGCGGGGACCGCGCAACGGGCTTGATTCTGGACTGCCTTTGGCGACTTTTTGGCCACGAAGAGGTCGAGGCCCTCACCTCTATACATCTTCACGAAGAGGTAGTGGCGACGGTATCATCATTCGCGATAGTGGTGGCGGTAAGTTTTGGGAAGGCCAGCCATAAAGTTGGTACCATGTAGATTGCGGAATGGTTCCAGTGGCAAGTATAGTGTGCAGCATTTTAGCTGGGGCTTTCGGGCCTGTGTTGAGACGGAATATAGAGTTGGAACAAGGACCAAGGACCCTTGTCTCGTTCTTCTGCAGTCCGTAGGTCGAGGGGAGTATGGCTTAGGGCTCAGGGAGTTATTCAAATTTCAAGAAAGTTACAAAATCATGTTTGTGTATTTATATATGAATGATATAGATAGATAGATAGATAGATATATATATATATATAGTAAAATACAGTGTAAAAAGGGTACAAACGGTCTGGGAGTTTGTCATTTGAGGTTCCAGGGTCTCGCCTCTCTTCTGGAGTTACCCAGGTTCAGGGCTTCAGGGCATCGTGCTAAAGCCAACCCCCCCGAACCTTAAACCCGAACTCGGCATCCTAAAAAGAACAACACGGAGTAAAGGGGGGCCTCAAACAAAAAGAAGAACCCCAAGACCGGCTATTTCCGCCAAAAAGACCGCCCTCTCCGCAGGCTGGGCTTGCAGACCTTGAGGCGCGTGCTTCTGCAGTTGGGTTGGAATGACAGGGGATTTTGAATTTAGGGCATGTAAAGTTTAGGATGTGAGAATAGAGTTTAGGGATTTAGGCGGCGCATAAATCAGGCGATAGGCAAGCGTTTGAGCCGGGATTTTCTGATAGGTCATGAATAATCTAGATAGTACCTCGTTGTCTCTTGTACATCCCGCGAATCCTTAAGCACCCGAAACCCTAAAGCTAGGAAGATGCCGGCCATGCAGACATTGCACAAAGCTAGGACCAGGTAGAAGGTCTGCCATCAGGGCACAAAAGGGTTCAGGGCCGGTCTATAGGGTTCCAGGAAAGGCTCGTGTAGTCTGACACCGTGTCCAACCTTCAACTCTGTAAGTCCATAGGCTAGGCCTTAAGGTTAATTGAATTGGTTAAAGGAGACGTTCGTTTGAGGTCGTGATGCCCGAAATCCCACCCTCCGCGCGTCCCAACAGGTTTGAGGGTCCAGCTGGAGCCCTTGAATCCTGAAGTATCCCATGCGTGCATTTGGACTCACATGTCGCGTCCCTCAGTATAACGCCTCTCGCCGGGTGTTGACCTCGCCGGTCGCTTCTGCAGATTGGTCCGGCATCGCTCAAAAACCCAACCGGGATCCGTTTTCATGAGCACCCATCCCATGTAAAGGTGCGAGCACTACCCTTGCCGTACCAAGACTTGCGCAACCTTCCCTTAAACCCTAAAGCCCATAACCGCAAACCCAAAATGCTGGAGCCCTTTCATCCTCCAAGCATACCCTAAATACTAAACCCTCAACTCGAAACCCTGCTTCCCGGAGCTTAACACTTCTTTCCCCTGGGGCGAGCAAGGAGAAGAGCCGAAACCCCCCGAAACCGTAGCATCCTAAGCCCTGAAGTCCGGTTTTTGCGTCCCCAGCCCTACTGAAGCCCTGATTCAGCTGCTGCTTGTGCTGGGAGGATGGAACGCCCGCTGCCCTACGACGCTGGGCTTTGGAGCTGGCCCGGGCAGAGGCCCAGAGTAGGAATGGAGGTTGAAGGGTTTTTTGTTCACGGTTTGAGCGAGTTCGGGTTTAGGGTCTGGGTCTAGGGTTCGCCTTTGCAGAAGGGTTTTTCGACGGCGGGTTTGGGGATCTCAGCGGGTTTTGGAGTTCGGGCTTAGGGCTTCAAGCTGAATTTCGATGCCTCACATGTTCAAGGCTTGAGATTCTGAGTGTTCTTGGTTTTCACGAGCAGTCTGTGGGACACCACAGACACTATTCTCTGATGAGGCCTACATGTATATATGTATGAATGCATGTATCTATGTATGTCTGTGTAGGTTGGACTAGAATCTAGAATCGCTCATTGTTCAGGAGGGGCTCGTTCGGTTGTTTGAGCTGCAATTTGGTACTAGCAGTGTCTCATAGTCCTGACATAAAGTACCCCCCTAAACCCTAAACCCACTACTATAGGCCCTCCCCCCAAGTTTTCAGGCCCCGTAGATCAGTTCAGGGCATCGGGTGCTGCCGGACTGTGCCCAGCAGTCCCAAGCCCATCGAAGGCCCTCTATAGACCCTGAACCTGTAGCCCGAAACCTTTTGAAACCGAAGAGCACGGTGTCTCCAACGTCTAAGTCTCAAGCCAGCAGTACCTCAGTGAGAATGAGCTGGAAGTTTGTAGCCTCAGAAAGAGTCGAGGGTTTAGGGTTGATACTGTTGATGATATAAATCCTGCATTACCATAAGGGCCCCAAACTATGGGAATTATGGTATAGTCCTTATTATGGGTAATGCAGGATTTATATCATCAACCGTAGGGCCCTGCAGAACAACACAGGAGCTGCAGTCAATTTGGCGCCATGCGGCGGAGCGGAAGGAGAGAGCCAAAGTCCTGATTCCCAAAACCAAAAGCCCCAATTTCAATCCTAAGAGTTAGCTATATAACATAGGGTTTGCGGTTTAGGGTTTTTAGGGTTTTGGGTTTAGGGTAGAACCTTAAGAACAACAGAACCCTTCACAGCAAAGCCACCAAGCCCCTTGCCAAAGTGCTTTGGCTGCTCCAATCGCGTGTAGCACCTCGTATAGCATCCCAAAGCCGAGACCCCCACGACTCGAAAGAGCACCGAATGGAACTCGGGGTCATAAGGTTAGGGGTTTAGTGTTTAGGGGTAGGGGTTGGGGGTTTAGGGGTTGGGGTTTAACTACCCTAACTTGGGGCTTTCATTGCAAGGATCCTGCTACTTGCTCCGGGGCTGTCTCAGAGTCCCGTATTGTCTTTGCCTTTGAGGAAAGCACGCAAGCTACAATGAACAAGCATGTTGTGTGTGTGTGCGCGGGGTTCTGAATAGTCATTTGTCCTATCTTTAGGGGTCCTTCTAAGAAGGATCTTTGAACTATTTCGGGGTTTCAAGGATCCCAGAACCTTTTCGGGGAGGGACTAGAGGCCCAAACCCCCGGAGCTCTAAACTTTAACTCCGGGAAAGCTGAAATCCTACGTGCAACAAAACCGCTCCATAAGCCCTGAAAGCCTGAAAGCAAGAGTGCTACGGCCTATTCCTCAGGCCCTAAACCAGATAAAAGAATCCCACTAAAAGGCAGCGCCGACAAAGCAAAAACCAACCTACAAAACCGTATCAAACCCCCTATAAACCCTCAACCCTTCATATAGAATATAGAACCCCTAAACCCTAAACCCCAAATCCTTTAAAGGGAACTATAAAAGAGCCATCGGAGAGGAGCCTCCGAAAAGCAGCCGCGACCTTTGGGCCGTGGCTTCGGCGGTGGTCGCTCACATGCGCCAGGCCCTCCGGTGTTTCTTTGGGAGAAATCTGGGGGCTTAGGGTTTACCTGGACCCCAAAAGTATGTAGAATAATAGCCTTTTGTGGTTTTGGGCCATTATTTTACCTACGTCTGGGGGTTTAGGGTTTAAGGTTCAGGCCGGCTACAGCCGGGACCCAAAACCCTAGAAGAATCTCCAAAAAAAAGCATCTGAAGCAGAAGAGATGCCGCAGTAGAAACACTAAGCAAGTACTTGAGGTTAAGCTCCGTCGGGCCGAACACCCAGACTACGAGTCAAAGCTCAGAAGTTCGTAACCCTAGCGCGTTTAAAAGCAGCACAGCAGTGGCTGGGTGTTGTCATATAGACATCATGGTCATTGCTTTCTGGTCTTCGGGTCCGGAGTTTGCATGACCTCCTGGCTAAGATTGCAAGAGACTGCAGATCCTAGCATCCATGAGGACGCCGGGCCCTTTTTACAGTTGGAGCCTCGGCACATAAGAAAGCTCCGAAAACAGAGTCCTTCTCAGAAGGCTCCTGTCAATTACAGCCGGGCCAACTCCTTTAACTCAAGGCACTGGGCTCAAAAAGCCAAAGCTCCACCGACAGAGCTCCGATCTAGAAGCACCCTGAACATCCCTGACGCCCTATAAGCCTAAACCCCAGGCCCTAAACCCTAAACCCTGAACATCCCTAGCTCCTATAACCCTACACCCTACGACCTAAACCCTAAACCCTGAACTAAACCATGAACATCCCTAGCTCCTAAACCCTGAACCCTCTGGAAGGTCGCAGGCCTGCGAACCCAGATGATCGGCCTACACGATGCCGAACACCGGCGTGCCTGGCGGACGATGGAGCACGAGGGCCAGATTCAGAGGCGAGGGTTTAGATTTGTTTGTCGATTTCCTGAAGGGTTTCTTTAGGGGGCACGTTCAAACGATCGATTGGGGTTTGGAGTTTGGGGTTTTTGGGGTTCAGCACGTTTGGAGTTCACGTTCGCGGTTTGGGGTTTTGCGGGTTTCGAGGTTTAGGGGTTCGGGTTTGGGGCTCAAGGTTAGGGTTTGGGCCTGCCATCGCGGAGGCATACACGCTTGGAGCACTTCTTTGCGGGCCTGAGAGAAAGCCCCCGCAAGACCCCTCCACAAGGCGGGGAAGCCCTGCAGCTCACAGTGCACTCTGCTTGTGGGAGGGGTTTGATTGGGCTTATACAGACTCTCGACAACTTTTGGATTTGGGTCCACTTCCGTCTGATTCCCAGTTTCCTTGGCACGCGGACTTCGGCCACGAGATGTGGGCTGTCTGGCACATTAAGCTCGAAACCTGAAGGCCCGACGGTCGGAAACCTACCACCTAAGCATGTTAGGCCGCGCACCCTTCCTGCTGAAACCCTCCATGACCGACCCAGGAACAGGTTCGGAGAACTCCTAAAGTACCTGCAAACCATGTGGATCTATTCTAAGCTCCGAACGCCCTGGAACCCCAAACCCTGTGAACCTTGAACCCTCCTTGCAGCGATTTCCTCCCGAGAGCGCCGCAGAGGCGCTACTGCCAACAAGCGGCTGTCGCAGTCCTCGCAGTCGGGGCCGGGAGCTGGATTTCTTTCTTCTGCTCCCAGGGTCCCAGGGATAGCTACCAAGCCGGTAGGGTTTCGGGTTTAGGGCCTTTGCTTCAGGCTTTAGACGGGTTTCGGGTACCGAGGGCATTTGTTCGTTGTTGGGTGGGGGGGGCATTGAGACGGACCCTGGCCTTCTGGAATTCATTGGTTTTGCTAAGGCTTCTGACTGCGGGAGCCTTCATACCTGGAATAGTAACGCAATATCCCCCAAGACCATTCAGTCAGGCAGATGTTGATACTTCTTCAGTGGCACTTCGACTCAGGGTTTAGGGGAAGCGGTTCTTATGTCATGATGCTTCGTGGTGCCTTCTCCAATCAACCCCATCCTCGTAGTGATGTTAAGGGAACAGGACAGCTGAGAATCTCTCTTTTTTGCTGTGAACGTCTCGCACTTTATCTGTCGATGCAATAATTACACACACGCACACACACACACACATATATATATATATATGTTTATATATATATACACATATACACATGTGTTATATATATACACACACATACATATGTTATCGTGCTGGACTTGTGTTCTGTGTGCATGCACACATGCATGCAGATATGAAGCAAGCTATGCCAGGCATCGCGACTCCGTGCAGCGGGGCTCTTTGCAGGGAACCTCGGTGCAGCGAACGTCGCTGACTACCACGGCCTCGCCCTTCACAAGCCAAATGAGCCACGGATGATTTACGGGCTTTGCATATTGATCCCTAAACCCTAAACCCTAAACCCTATAAACCCTAAACCCAGGTACGTACAAGGTTTGGGCGTTGGTTTACTTGTTGGGGGGTCTAGGAGTCTAGGACCTATAGGCTCATGTACAGACTTCAGGGTGGCGGGTTATTTGTGGAGTGTTGACTGTTTTTGGAGGGCGCTGCGCCAAGTCTAGGCCCTCGGCGTTCGTGCTTTAAAGGCTCCTTGACGGAGTTTGGATAAGATTGTGCTCAAATCGATGACTGTCGAACCACACCCAGTCCTGCCCACTCTCGGTTCAGATACATGGGACTTTCCGAAAATTAGGGTACCTTATTTTGGGGTCCTTATAATAAGGATCCTACTATTTAGGGTACTATATATGTTCGGAAACCCCCATATACCGTTGGGTTCGGGGCTATGGGAGACCCGGGGATGCCTTGATGGGCTGCTTGAAGCATGGCATGTTCAACATCGAACATCCAAAGCCAATCCTCAGCCCCTCCCCTTTCAGGGGTAATCCCTGAAGTGTGAAACATCCTCGGCCTTGATCAAGAAGCCTCAGATGAGCACCTTAAACTCCTTAAACACCAACTAACACCGCTCTATACTGAAATTACAGTATGCTCCCAGCTCTGAACGTCTAAGCCTTAGACTGCTAATGCTCGACGAAACCATAAACCCTAGAGGCCCTAAACCCTAAAGGCCCTAAGCCCCAAAGGCCCTGTATCCCAAACCCGAAGCCAAAATTGAGAGTCAGGAGCCCCTCCAGCCCCAGCTTCGCCTCCAGCTGGAAAGATCGGCCAAGCCGCAGCCGACGCTTTGAGAAAGAATGTACCCGGATCGGTGTGGGGTCTTGGGTTGCTGTTTAGGGTTTATTCTGGGTTTAATGCTTGGGGTTCAGGTCTTCTTCAGGATTTAAGGTTAGTTTAGGGTTTTGGGGTCATGCGGACTTAGTATGTAAGTCTTTCCTTGGGTTTGTTCGTGGGTCTTGTCGTGTTTACATATGGGTACCGTCTATCAGGGTTATATGATTGTTTTGTCCATATTTCCATAGGAGAGGTTCATCGGAAGGATTATACTCTTCTCTGTATGTTTAGGGTTATATTAAGCTCCGGAACGAAGGGACAGTATTCCGCCCGGTTGCCCTGACATGGAAATTCGCTACCGCTTTAGATGTGGTACCAGGAGCCTGAAGAGTATCAGTCATACGCTTTTCTCTACAACTTGGGATTTGCCCTGAGCTTGGAAATCTAGCAAACTGGAGTCTATGCATAATAGAACTGTTTTTTTAAGGCATTATTTCTACCCTACACACGAAGGGGTGAAGGGTGTCGGCGAAGGGGATTACGGTTTGGGGTCGCGCTGCAGTGATGTTGTTCCTGAAGCGTTGATGGATTTGTTGGCTTCCCAGGGGGGCACGCTTCACCCAGCCGTCGAAGTCATGATAGGGACTAAGCATATGGGGGTGTCGGGTCGTGCTATAACATAACTTGCGAGAACGGACTTCGTGTGCCTGGGTCCCCAGCAACTTGGTACATTGCATACTCAACCCTAAACCCTAAACCCTAGATATACGGGGGTCGATTACATACCCAATGGGCTCTAAGAGAGGCAGGTTCTGGCAGGTGCCGGCACCAAGCAAACTTCTGGCAACCTCAGGCCCCTGAACTCCCCCACTCCGAAGCCCAAAAATGCTAAGCCTACCCCATTCAAACGCCTAAAGCCTCAAGCCTCAAGGCTGTTTGGTGCCGAAGCTGCGAGTGCGTTTGAGGTTGTTCCGCGATGACAGCCGCCGACCACGAAGAGTGGAGCCAGCAGATGTCCTCAATGACAGTACCCGACGCTTTACTGAATCAATCGAAGAAGCCGTTTGGGTTGCGGGTCGACAGGGGACGCGGGACGAAGCCGATTATTCTGGAGTTGATCATTTCAGGCAGACTGGATCGTGCGAACCCGAGCTCCTTGAATCCTGAAGTTTGTTTGAGACCTTATGGGAACGCTCCACTCTTCTCTGGAGGCTTCGCACCTGGGCTTGGGACTCTTAGGTTTCGGTTCCGCAGTTCAGGGTGGAGGGCTGAGGTTCTTCGTCTCAAAACGGATAGCACAAAGCTTGCCTTGTTGTCCTCATTCGTTCTATGGCGGGCAGAGACAGCGCTGTCATGCGAATTATCCCTCGCATTTGGGGTGTTTACGCAGAATGGACTCATGCACACGGCTGGCCACCTGAAATGACCTGAAACGCCAAGGAGATGCCGATGATGACTCAAACTGCAACCCTGCGACGACGATCTTCCGGACACTGGATGAGATTTGACGTCTGCTCCATTTGTCTAGACCCAAACAGCATGTTGATGTCGTCGTTGATGTTCTCCCAGCAAGGCTCCTCTTGATTGAAAGCAGGTGGGGCTCTTCGCTTGGCTTGGGGCTAAAGTTTGTCTGTTCAAGGGTGTCAGGGATCAGAATTGAGGGTGCCGACATTCAGCATCAGGACCCTCATAATGCTTACCCTCCTTCCTTGGTGCAAGTAAGTCTAAATGAGGTTGCGAGCTTTGTTTGCAACTTGATTTCGAGCTTGCACTGTGAAGCTACCCATGGGCTATAACCCATGGCACCCTGCAATTTGTATACTTCTGCATCTGAGCGTTTGCGCGAAGCCCGAAGCACTTCGCTGAGCAGGCAGGATCGTGCTTCCGCCGGTAGTTCCTGCCTACGAAGCAGATGATGATTCAAGCACGCCAAAGGACTCTTTGGCATCTTGATTGCATGAGTCAGCCGGCTGCGTGAAGTTTTGCAACCCTTATGCAAGTAACGGACAGACAAATTACGGGTGTAGATTGCCATGCCTAAGTTTTCGAAAACTGCCATGTATCACGTTAGCCACGCACGTAGGTTGTGATCAAGATACTGCTGAGCGAGGTGGTCGCTGTGCCGCCGGGCGGCTTCAACTACTTCGCCGTTTTCCCACACTTGGCCAAAAAGCCCCCACCGCCGGCGAGGCAGGCATTCATTTTGGAGCAGAGGCTCATCCAGACGCTCTACATCCGTTATAGACTAAGACTATGGAGGCCTAGTCCTCATAGGCGGATGGTCAAGTTCCTGCAGAGTTTGCGTCTAGGTGCTTGTGTGGGGCTGCTCCTAAAGTCTTTTTTGTAGTAGTATCACCCAGTGCTGTCAATGTCACCTGTTTGTATTTGTATACTTGCTGAAGTCACAAGGTATCCTGTTTTCCAAGGGCTTAAATTGTCAAACCTACGATAGCCTGAGTGTTCTTGGCCCAGACTGGTCCCTCGAAACACTCCGCCACCCTGTTAGCATAAGCCCCAAAACCCATTGCCCGAGACCCGAAGCCCCAAGAATCCCAAGCCCCGAAAGCAGAGACCCCTAAAAACCGCCTTATGCACGAATCCCGAAGATGCCATCTATCTGTGACCTCGAAT